ATAAAAATAAATACAACGGAAACGAAACTATATCGTTAAATTCTAGCCACTTGCCGAGGCTCTGAATCGGAAGTTTTTATATTTAATATTTTTGATGGGATGGGTCGACATAGTGTTGGGAAGTATCGATAGTTAAAGAGGAAGGCTTCCTTACAGAATGAGCTTGCAGGAAAGGAGACGGGGTGCCGGTGAGGTGGCGACATCCCCATCACCGGAGGCATTCGATGAGGCTGGACAGTCACTTCGCGTAACTTTTCTTTTTAATTAAAAAAAAAAAAAAAAACGGTCAGAAAAGAATCTGGGGGGAGAAAAAAAAACTTTGGAAAAGGCAAAGAAGATTCCTGGACGTTCTTTCGATGCAACATTAGGTGTTGTCTATAGCTGTGCTAACAGAGTGGCCACTAACTGTGAAAGGTCTCATTAAATTTTTATATGGATCATGCGTTTAAATGACAGTATTTTTAAAATATATTTGAGTTGAGTGAAATATATTATTTAAAACTATTTAAAATTCAGGTCATAAACATGCAAATAAACATTGGTAAGATGCGATCGACTCCACCCTGTGGTAGAAGCCAGTTCTGCATCTATTGTATTAGCAAATGCCCTTCCGCGTTCTTGATTGTGAGATGTGTAGTATGTATACAGGGTGGGGCGAAAGTAGGTTTACAGTTGGTCGTGTGAAAAATAATATGAGAAATAGTAATACAAGAATAAACGGTGTGTTTCGTGTACTTACAACTGTACACCTACGTTTGCTTCACCCTGTATACATATATTCTTCTTTAAACCAGTTTTCTTTTTAATTGATTGATCGATATGAGAGAGAAAAAGTGAGAGACAGAGAGAGAGAGGTGAGAGAGAGAGAGAGAGAGAGAGAGAGAGAGAGAGAGAGAGAGAGATTTGTTGTCTCTTCACCGGGGGTCAAACCGACAACCATGATGCATCTGGAAGATTCTCTAACCAATTGAGCTACCCAGCCAGGGCTGTAAGAGTCTTCTTTGCCCCTAAATCCCTTGGGTCTAGGACACTAGATGTGTGGAAGGAGCTAAGGGAGTGCAGGATGAATAATGAATGAATGCAAACCACAGGACAGGGGGGAGCCAGGGGCAGGAAGTCCGGGTGCAGACCTCTCGGTGCAGCCGGCACCTGGGTGGAAAGAGGAGGATTCATCCAAACCCTGGCTTGGCCACGTCTCTCAGGAATTTGAGGCACGGATCACTGAACAAACAGTTAATCCTAACGCCCTTTCTTCGTGGCTCCCATTGGGAACAACCTTCGCCCTCATTCTAAGAGGCAGAAGGGCCCAGGCAGAGACGACAACCAGCCCCCAAGTCTGACCTTTGCCTCATTCTGAGCCAATAAAGAACTGGCCCGAGGTGACCGGCAGGGCCCTGCAAGCACCTGCCCCTTCCGTCCCAGTCCCAGCTGCATCTGAACACGGAGACATGGCAAAGGCCATCAGCATCCTGGTACCCACCCTTTGCTCTTGTATCACCCGCCTGGAATGATGCCCCTTCTCAAACTGCTCTTTTCCAGGCTCTGTTCAAAGGGCACCTCTTCCCTGAGCTCCGTATTTTCTCCTGTCCCGGGGAGGTCAGGCAGGGTGGCGGTGCGGAGAGCGGGCGCTGGCTCTGTGTTCGTGCATGCCCACTTCCCACTTCCCACCCCACACAGATACTCAGGGACAAGAAGAGCCACCTGGCCCCTGGTCACACCCACTCACCGTGCAGCTTGAGCTCCATTCTGTCCTTCTCTGAGATGGACAGATGTCCCCACAGTGACGGGAAGGAGTTTGACCGGGTCACTGTTTCCTAAGCTTCAGGCACTTATTGCCTTGTGTTTCCATATCTACATACCACGTACATACACGTGTGCGCTTACAATGTTTTTTTTAAATATATATTTTATTGATTTTTTTAACAGAGAGGAAGGGAGAGGAATTAGAGAGCTAGAAACATCAATGAGAGAAACATCGATCAGCCGCATCCTGCACCCCCCCACACACTGGGGATGTGCCCACAACCAAGGTACATGCCCTTGACTGGAATCGAACCCAAGACCCCTCAGTCCGCAGGCCGACGCTCTATCCACTGAGCCAAACCGGTCAGGGCTTACAATGTGTTTTAATTGAAAGACTTAAACATTTTTTTTTCTTTGTAATAAAATACATATAGCATAACATTTACCACTTTTAAAAAATATATATTTTATTGATTTTTTTACCGAGAGGAAGGGAGAGATAGAGAACTAGAAACATCGATCAGCTGCCTCTTTCTTCAAATTTCTCTTAGCTCAGGGCCTTTGCACATTTCTCTGCCCCAAACGCCTCATTCTCATCCGTCCTTTTGGCCTCCGCTTACATGTGTGGACATCCTCTGACCCAGCTATCTGAATGACACCCAACCCCAATCACTCTTCTTTTCCCCAGGTGCCCCGCCCTTTCCCGGAGTGAGGTTAGCACCGCTGGTAATCCTGTATCTATTGATCTGTGGGTTCGGTGTCTAGACGGTCCCTCCCATCAGACTCCCTGAGGGTAGGGTGTGGTCGGAGGGCTCCCAGCTCTGCTCCCAGTGCCTGCTGCACCCAAGGTGCACGGTCAACATGTGCGCAGGGCCTCTCCGGCAGGCCCCACCCGCCCGAGGTGGGGCAGCCCCAGCGCCCAGTCGGGGGTTGGCCAGAGCAGGGAGCCTTTGCAGAAGTGAGAACTGAGACTAGACATGAGCTTCAGGTGATCGTGGCGACGGTCTGCTCAGACCCTGGGGCGGGGGCAGGGGTTGGGGGGACCAGCCCTGAGACTAAGCAGCCCTCACCTCCTCATGGAGGCTCCCGTGGCGCCAGCGGAGACCCTGGGTGGGTGGCCGGCCCCAGCCTGCGGACCCATCCCTTCCCACGCTTTCTGACCGGGGTGGGGGAGCAGTGAACAAAGGCGGTTTCGAAGAGAAAATGTCCCAGTGAAAAACAATGCGGGGATTGAGTCCTGCTCGCTGCCATTTGGAAGGAATGAAAGTGGGATTAGCTAAAAAACAAAATCCAAACCCAAACCAACACAAAACCACCCTATTGTTTTAGATTCTGCCCGAGACACAATCGTCGCATTGTCTCCTGGGCCATAACATGGTGCCCGGGCCCTTGGTTCTGCACTTGGGCTCGGGGCAGCGAGCAGAGAGGCTGGTCTCTGGGGAGTGCTTCCGTAGCCACCAAGAAGCACCCCTCGCCGAAACCGGTTTGGCTCAGTGGATAGAGCATCGACTTGCGGATTGAAGGGTACCGGGTTTGATTCTGGACAAGGGCACCTACCTTGGTTTCGGACACATCCCCAGTAGGGGGTGTGCAAGAGGCAGTTGATCAAATGATTCTCTCTCATCGATGTTTCTAGCTCTCTATCCCTCTGTCTTCCTCTCTGTAAAAAAAATCAATAAAATATATATATTTTAAAAAAGGAGCACCCCTCATTTCCCCGAGCACCTTATGGGGGTATTGGGAGGAAGCAGCAAGTCAAGCATCCAGCAGAGTGGGCAAAGGGTTCAATTGGCATCCGCCAGCGAGAACTGTCCACTCAGGCCTTGCCGCTCTCCGACTTAAAACCGTCAGGCCCTAAAATGGAATTCACTCCACTGTTCTCTCCATCCACAAGGGCCACCGAGAGACACCAGGCCCTGTCCCAGAGCCTGCAGCTTCTACTTCACAGAGAAAAGGGGTGTCCGCAGGTTACATGAAGGTTTGTGATGGGGAAGATCATTCTGGGTCACCAGGGTGGGCCTTCATCCGATCACAAGTGTCTCTACCAGAGAGAGAGCTGATGGGCGCAGAAGAGGAGGCGATGTGATCACAGGGGCAGAGATGGAGGTGAGGAGGCCACAAGCCAAGGGATGCCAGCAGCCACCACGAGGAGCTGGGAGTGACGGGCACAGACACTCCCCTACACACCCGCGGAGGAAGAGCAGTCAGTCCTGCTGACACCTTGGTTCAGCTCAGGAAACGGATTTCAGACTCTGGCCTTTAGACCTGCGAGAAGGCTGTTCTGTTCTGTTAAGTCACCAAGTTCATGATCATTCGCTCCGGCAGCCACAGGAGACTAAGGAGCCCTTTGGGACTGGGTCCCTGCGCACGTGTCGCTTCGCACCCACATTCACTTTGCCCCAGCCACCAAGGATCGTCTTTCTTTTTTTTTTTTTAATCAATCTTTATTGTTCATATTATTACAAAGGTTCCTCATTTCTTCCCCCCTCCACCAGGTTCCCACCCCACCCTGCGACCCCTCCCCATCCCCCATTGTCCTCATCCATAGGTGCAGTTTATGTTCAGTCTTTTCTTCCCTCCCTTTCCCCAATAGTAAATCCCTTTTCAGATAGTAAATCAGTTACTTAGCATTTTCTCAAATCAATAATACCTCCACATGCCCAATGATACACTTCACACAAAAGACATTTCCCAATAGGTCCACCAGCCTCATCCAGACCCCACCCAAGGCACTCACAGATCAACACCATCTTTCATTTTTAAAAAATATATATATTTTATTGATTTTTATAGAGAAGAAGGGAGAAGGATAGAGTTAGAAACGTGGATGAGAGAGAAACATGGATCAGCTGCCTCCTGCATACCCCCCACTGGGAATGTGCCCTTGGCCAGAATTGAACCTGGGACCCCCTCAGTCCACAGTCGGACGCTCTATCCATTGCGCCAAACTGGTTTCGGCTGGCGCAACCATCTCACCGCCTGCGCCGGCCTCAGTCTCCCCGTCTGCAAAGTGGGACCACGGGACCCGCGGGCGGCAAGCGAAGGGTTAAAGGGGCGGGGCCCGCGGGGCGGGCGGGCCCGGGGGCGGGGCCAGGGCCGCACTGGCGGCTCGGGGCTCCCTCCTCCTCCTCCTCCTCCTCCGACGCCGCGCGCAGCCCGGAGCGGCGGCCGGAGCGGGTCCCCGGGGAGGAGCGCGCGGGAGCCGGTCCCACCGCGGAGGGGCGGCGGCGGCGGGGACCTCGGGGCGACGGGGCGCGATGGCGGAGTTCCCGTCCAAAGTGAGCACGCGGACCAGCAGCCCCGCGCAGGGCGCCGGCGCCGCGGCCTCCGCGCTGCGCCCGGACCTGGGTTTCGTGCGCTCCGCCGTCGGGGCGCTCATGCTGCTGCAGCTGGTGAGCGCGCCGGGCCCCGGGATGGGATGGGGCTCGGGGGGGCGGGGGGCTGAGCGCTCCTACACCCCAAACCACGCCGTGTCTCCCCGGGGGCGCCCCCGAGGCCACCCTGGGACCCTCTCACCTCGAGGGTCCCCGCTGCGCCCCTGCGCGCACACGCACGGGGCACACGCCCGAGTCCAGAGAGGCCGCCGACGCCCATCACCCGCTCCCCAGCGGGTCCCCAGAGGCCCCCCGCGTCAGCCACAGCCCCCGCGGCCACCCGGTCCCCGTCTTCGCCGGGCCAGGGCCCCCGCCTCCGGTCCCCGGCTTAAACCCAAGTCCAGTCCGGGCCGGCTCTGTGCTCGGGGCCGCGCCCCGGAGCACCCCGGTCTGATCGGGAGCGCACTTCCGTCCCGGCGCTTGGACTTCGGCTCGGCCTCGCCCCGGGGCGCCCCCGCGGGAGCCGGGCCCGTGTGGCCTCCGCCGGGCGAGCCGCCGGGCTCCAGCCGGTGTGGCCGGCCCCGCGGACCGAGGTCCCGCGCCCGGCGCCGGGGTGTGTGTGTGGGGTGTGTGTGTGTGTGGGGTGACTTGCGGGAAGCCGGGGCCGAGACTCCGGGGTCTTCCAGACTTTCTGACGGCCCCGGCTGCGGCCGGCCGACCGACCGACCGACCGGTGGGACGCCCGTCTGCCCCTCCAGGACTGGTCCCTGGCCGGGGGCGGTGGTGGTGGGGGGCTTGGTTCTCTCCCGCTAGTGCCTCTGGCGCGAGTCGGGGAGCTGGGCGGCTGCTCCCCCAGCCGAGGGCCCGGGCCGTTTTCAGAGGAGCACGGGGGACCCGGAGGTGGGCCAGGACCCCTTTTCCGTTAGGGCCTCTCCCGCCGTCCCCCGAACCGCTGGGTCCTTGCAGGCTGCGGGGCTCAGGCTGGAAGGAGGGGTCCTCTGAGCACAGACCCCCGTCCTGGCGCCCTCCGCCCCTAGGCCAGTGCCTTCTCAGTCCTCCCCCCGGGAGCCCCCCTCTGCTCCCCAGCCTCAGCTCCTCCTGGGGCGGGGGCTGTTGAAACTGGAGCTTCTCGGTCCCCACCCCCGGGAAAAATGTGGCATTGGAATTTGACTCTCAGGAAGGGCAGGCCAGGAATCTGCATTTCTAATTCTTCTCCAGGAGTCGCTTTGGGGAGGGGATGCGGCCGGGGGCTGCCTGGGGTCTGGAGCTGGGCTGTGGGCGAGGCTCTGGGTGGCTGTGAAGGGCACCCCCCGCCCCCCCGCAGGCAGGGAGCCCAGGTCCCACTGGTAGGAAACGGGGGGGGGGAGGGGGGAGGTCAGTTCTGAGCCCGGGCAGTGTCACGGAGGAAGAGGTGTCTGTGGAGCAGAACTTCCTGAAACCTGAGGGCTGGGAGGGAAAGGGAGTTCAAAGGGCGGGGTGCCCGGTGAGCCAAGGTGTGGGGACCCGAGAGCAGAAAGGAAGTTGGGGGGAGTAGCCCACGGGTTGGTGAAAGTGGACTCGGAGCACTTGTAGGTGGCGGTGTGCTGGGCGCGCTCAGGAGGTGTGGGACCGGAGAGGGACGGGAGAGGGTCGCAGTGGGACGGAGGTGATGAGCTGTCTGTGGACCCCCCTCCCCCAAGTCCCCAACCAATCAGAGGCACAGGCCTCCCCTGGAGGAAGCCACAAGGTCCCTGTGGGTGTTAGGGGCAGAAACAGAATATTGAGGACGAGCTATAGTCACAGGAGATCGTGCCCTGTTAGCTGCCATTGCCTTGTTCTGATTGAAGGAAGGACATTCTAACCCGGCTGGGGATGGTCCGCCCCTGGGACCTGGAGCCAACCTTGGGAGGAGTCCTTTTGCCCAAGTCCCCATGTAATCTTTGTCCGACCCAATAGGGGCTGCTGGTTTAGGGGGGGCGGGGTGCAGAGCAGATTTTCGTGGGTGACCTGCGGCTCTCCCAGACTGTAGGCATGACTGGATCCAACATTACCAGATTCAACCGTCTTCTGCTTAAATGGTTCCAGTAGTGACAAGCCTGCACGCACTGGTTGTCCGGTTTCATGGGCACAGAGGCATGCTCTTCCTATTCCAAACTCCTCCAATTCCACTTATTCCAACCCTCGTCGTTCTAAAACAAAAGGGGGGTCCCTGTGGGCTCAGCAGACCAGTCTTGAACATTTGGGTCCCCTCACGCAGGTGTGGACACACTGAGGTCTAGCCAGAACGCCGTCCTGTAGTGGAGGTTGGCACTTAGGTCTCTAGGCTCCTGGGGCCTGGGGTGTGACCGGGGTGGCCATTTGGGGTGCAGAGGATGAGGGTTTCCCATCAGAGTCCTGAAGATCTGGCTCCTTTTAGTGCCCATACCAAGGGCTTCTGGGAGAAGCTGCTTCCTGAGCTGTTTCTCTGGCAACGGACCATTCCATTGGGTCTGGGGGGGGGGAGGGTTCACTCAATAGGTACCACCCTCTGCTGGGAATCCATAATAATAGTAGCTCCCACTAGTCAGGTACCCAAAGGGCTTTAGATCCTCTTATCACCCCCCACCCCCTTTACAGGTGAGGAAACTGGGGCTCAGAGGTCAGTTCTTTGCCTGAGATCTCTCAGCCCTCCTCCCTCGGGGAGCTAAACCCTGAGTGCTCTGACTTTTCTGGCCTGGGCCCTAAGGATCACAATCAGCCATTTCCCACCAGGCACAGGGGCTGGTGCTGTGGAAGGGAAGGCTGCCTGGAGGAGGTAGGGAATGGGAAGATGAGCTCCGGTTCTCCATTTCCCGGGATTTGGTGAAGGGGCCCAGGTGTGTGTTGGGAGGAGAGGGGAGGGGTGGGCGCAGGAGATGGGCTCTTTGTCTGGTATGAAATGTGTCCTGAAGCACCAACCTCTGTGGTCACTGCTTTATCAACCCTCCCTCCTTCTCCAGTTCCCAAATGAATGCTAGTCCCAACGAGATCATTGTGCCAGCAATGTGCAGCAAGTGTAAGGCTCTTGTTCTTTGTTGAGCTTCCTAGCGGCCTGGGCAAAAGGGGAAATATGCTGAATTTACACAGATACCCTGTTTCCCCGAAAATAAGACAGTGTCTTATATTAATTTTTGCTCCCAAAGGTGTGCTAGGTCTTATTTTCAGGGTTGTCTTATTTTTCCACGAAGAAGAATATGATACACATTTATTGTTAAATGAAAATAAAGGAAATTTATTACCTGTATACGGTACGGCAGTACAGTAGTACAGTAGTTGTCAACACAAACCAGACAAACTGTGAATCCTACAGTATCAAGAATTTACTCATTTATTCAATGACAATGATGTCATCATCTTCTGGAACATCATCATAAAAATCCAATTCCTGAATTTCCTGGCGAATTTCTTGTGACTCCATTTCTTTCAGAATCAGTGGACCAAATCTCTCATGTTTAGCCTGGGGGAGCCTTATTTTCGGGGGGATGCCTTGTATTTCACTCAGAAGGAAACCTGTTAAGTAGGTCTTATTTTTGGAGGATGTCTTATTTTCGGGGAAACACGGTAGCATCTTGAAAAGGGAAGCAGACACGTCTGATCTAGAGGCAGCTCTTTGGATGATAAAAACCTGCAGATCTTCGTGTGGCTAAAGGGTGTCAGAATGTCGTGGAAGGTGAGGTTAATTTGTGCTTGTGGCTGATCCCAAAGCCTTTATAGAATAAGCATTAAGCGGATGCCGTTACGTGACCATAGGCTTATTATTTTTTTAAATCCTCCCCGAGTCTTGGGAAGAAAGTGGACGAGCAACAGGCTCAGAGAGGGAGAAGAATTTACCCAAGTTCGCGGGGTAAAGTGGCAGGGCTGGGATTGGCACTCAGATCCGTAAATTCGAAGCTCTGCTTCCTGTTTTTAGTGTGGTGGTGTTTTTTGTTGGGGGATGGGTGTTCCTATGCTTTGGAGGAAGGAGATGGGGAGGGGTGTCAGGGTCACTCAGGGAAGGCTCCCTGACAGAAGTGCTTGCTAACGGGTGTAGTAAAATGGAAGGAGGAGGCGGTACTCAGGAGGGTCGGAACAAACCAAAGCTCATGCCAGGGCAGCCTTGAGGTCCAAGATGTAGGAGCCGTGTGAACGTCCTGCTTGGCACCTCCCGTCCTTCCTCTGGTCCTACCCTTTGGGAAACCAGTTTGCAGGTGAATCCACAGGTCAGAAGCCTCACCTGCATTTGATCACAGTGACCCAGCATCCAGTGCGGGCGATGCTGAGAGTATTGGTGGGAGCGCAGCCCTTGGTTCAAATCCTGCCTCTTGCCCCTTCCCGGCTGTGTGATCTTGGGTAAGTTCCCTAATGTCCCTGAGCCTCGGTTTTCTTGTCTGTAAAATGGTGATTATGGGATTGCGAGGACGAGGGAGGATCATGCCTACCAAGAGCTTATCGTGGAGTATATTGGGATGGAGGGCACTGAGGATTCATGGTGTCATGCAATCCTAGGGCTCTTAGGCTTGCAATCAGAGGTCCCTTGGTGCTTACTCAACACGAGCTTGCATGCTTCCAGAGACAGGGAGCTCAGTCTCTCTCCGTGCGGCCTGCTCCATCCTGGGCGCTTGGGGGTGTTAGGACGTTCTTCCTCCTTGACCCTGACTCCGCCTGCAGCCCCAGCAGGCAGGTGCGGGGCAGGGCAGGGCCTGAAGAGGCTGCCTGGCTGAGGTTGTTCAGGTCTGAGAGGTGTGAGCAGAGGTTGGTTGCGTTGGGAATGCAGTGTTGGGGTCCCCACCCCCCACCCCGGGGGGGCTTCCCTTAGCTCTGAGATTTGTGGGTTCCATGTCCTTGGTGCTGCATCCCAGGGCCTGCAAGCTCGCGGGCTTCCTCCAACACAGAGCAAACCAGTGCTCGGCATTGTTAGCCCCGCCCACCTTCCCACTTGTGGCCGGGAGGGTGTTGGCTGATTTGGAATTAATTAATAATTATGTTATAAATACACGAACACACCCTCCTTAAGAAAACAAAAACCTACTTTCAGATAAGGCTCAAGTTATTCTTGGATCTCCTGCCCCTCTCCCCAAGGGAACCGCTGTTTGGGGGTGTTT